GGCAGGGGCGGCGGAGGAGGGGACTGGGGAGGGGACACCTGGGGAGGGGCGGCCGGCGAGGACTGCACCGGAGGGCCACCAGAGTCAGAAGACTCCTCAACCGGGTCCACGGACGGAAGGGGGGTGACGTGGGAGACACCAGAGGGGGCGGGACGGGGAGGAGGAGGAGGAGGGGCAGGGACTACCGGGGAAGGGGTGACCAGGAACAGGGGGGGGGTAACCGGGGGACCACGGTGGGGGAAGCGGCGGTAGTAGGAGACGGACTCGTCAAAGGTGACGTCACGAGGGTGAAAGAAGCGGTGAGACGGCGGGTGGTAAAAGTGCCAGTCGGACGCGTCAAGGGGAAAACCGAGGAAGACGCAGGGAAGGGTGCGGGCAGTGAGCTTGTCCGTGCCGGAGGCACGGACGTGAGCAAGGCAGCCCCAGACATGGAACGCAGACGCGTCACCAGGAGACCCAGTCCAAAGACGGGTCGGCGAAACCTGCGGCTGCTGAGGGTGCGGCCACAGGTTAAGCTGGTGAGAAGCGTAGCGCACAGCGAACGGCCACAGAAAATGGGGTGCACCGGCATGGACCATGGAGGTGCGAGCCACCTCCATGACCAAACCGATGCGTCGCTCAGCGACCCCATTCTGCTGTGGGGAGTCCGGTAGGGTGAACGTCTGGGTGATGCCCTCCGCACGACAAAAGCGACCAAGGACACCTGAGGCAAACTCGCCACCACGGTCTGAGTGAAGACGCAAGACAGGGAGACCGCGGTGGACACGCGCAGAGACAAGCCAGGGGATGAGAGCGCCAGGCACGTCGGCCTTGCGCTCCAGGGGAAAGACTGTGGTGTAACGAGTGAAGTCGTCGACAAGCACAAGGAAGTAGCGCTCGCGACGCGGCCCAGGGACGCGGGCGGGGCCCCAGACGTCCAGGTGCAGGGTCTGCAGCGGCGCGGCGGTAGGGGGGAACGAAGAGGAGTGAGGGGCACGGCGAAGCCGACCCTCGACACAAGGCGTGCAAGGTGGAGCTGGGGAGGAGGGAAACGCGGGGAGTGAACCTGGGAGACCAAGGACAAGACCGTGCTGGGACATGTGACGCAGACGCGGGAGCGCAGGGTGACCTAGGCGGTGGTGCCACAGGAGGGTCAGGTGAGTGAGGGGGCGACAGGAGCAGGCAGCAGCAACCTGGGTAGACACAGCCACCTGAGGGGGCGCTCCAGCCGGGGGGGGCATGGTGTCCAGAGTGAACAGGCCGGACACCGGGTCCCGGGGGAACGTGGACAGGGGGGCACCAGTGGCGGCCTCGGTACAGACAGCATACCGCTCGTGACCAGGGAACATAGTGGTGACGCCAAGGTCCTGGAGGCAGCCGACACCGACTAGGTTCCTGGAGAACGAGGGGATATGCAGACCTGTAAGAGAGCCCGAAGGAACCGCCGGACAGGGAAGGGTGGTGGAACTGCGGGCGACTACCGGACCGCCGGAGGGGTCAGCAAGAGAAACGGCAGCAGGAACAGGAAGCGGCGTCAGGGTGGTGGAGTCGCGGAAGAAACACCGAGAGGCGCCAGAGTCCAAGGTGAAGGAAAGCGAAGCCGAGGGGTCTGGCGACGGAACGACGGCAGAAGCACCAAGACTACACAAAGCAGGGGATCCTACGCCTGACGCAGCAGGGAAGGCTAAGCTAGGCACACCTACACTAGGCAACAGTGAGTAATAAGTCGGAAGCACACTAGAGTCAGCAGCATACATCACATGCAGAGCAGAGACAATGGCATCCATGTCCATATCAAAGATCTGAATCTGACGACTAAGCAAACTGTGCCAGTCCGGGAGGTCTGGCGACGGGCCGAAACGCTGACGAAAGAGGTCGTCCAGGCGACGAAAGCAGCGGGGAGTGGAGTGACCGATCTTACCGCAAACGAAGCCGCGGCGAGGACCGGTCTGGATCTGGTACTGACAACGCCCGCCGGCAGAGCCACCACGCGGCACACCACCCCGCGCCCGTCCACCGCCAGCGCCGGGCCACCCTGGGGGGAGAACGCTCGTCTGCCGCGTCTGCGACGGCTGCTGCGGCTGCTGCGAAGGCTGCGATTGCGGCGGCTGCTGCGGCTGCTGCAACTGCAGGGGCGGCGACTCAGCTGGACTGGGCAGGGTCCCCTCGTCTGCTCCAGCACCAGGCGACCCGACCCCACCACTACCCCCGCCCGCACCCCCGCCGCCCCCTCCGCCGCGCCCAGCCTTGGGGCGGCGGCCCTTCCCAGAACGGGCCTGCGCTGCAGCAGCAGTCTCAGCCACTGCGGCAGAGCCGTCGGAGAAGGTACACTGAGTGGGGGCACAACCCTGAAAGATAGGGACCGGCACGACACCGCTCGCCTGGGCGATGGAGCGGTGACGGGTCTCTATCACAGTCAGGGTGTCGACAAAGTCAGTGAGGGTGAGGTCTGCGGGGTGAACACTAAGGAAGCGGTCGCGGGCGACAGCAAGGCGGTCAGGGAGGCGGGTGGCAAGCAGGTAGAGGGTAGAGGTAATGGGCGGCTGGTGGGCTCTAAGCTGTGCGTCAGTGCAGGCGGCGCGCCAGGTCTCCTCTATCGAGCGCAGGTGGGCAGCGAGGTCAGAGACAGTGGGGAACGAAGCAAGGTCAGGAAAGAGCAGCGGGAGGATCAGGCGACCCACCGAGGCAGCCGGAGGGGTGGAATAGCGCGTGATGACAGCATCTAAGTATGCCTGAGCAGTAGTGAGGGACCTAAAGCGAGGACGCTCGGACGGGGGGAGGGCGTTGCTAATGGCAAGCTGGGCGACAGCATCGCGAGAAAGCCAGACAGAGCGCGCACGGGCAGTGGCAGCAGTAGACTCACGCTCAGTGGGTGTGGGGTCAGCGGGCAGAATAGCAGGAGGGTCTGGGCAGGGGAGCGTACCGTCAAGGTGTGCGGAAAGCGGTTCACCATCCTGCCGCTGGCCAGTGAGTTGGCGGCGGAGGTCGGCAAGCCACGCCTCGAACTCTAGGGGCTGACCTTCAGCGTCGAAGCAAAGCTCCGCCGCCATCAGGAACAGTCCAGTGCTGTGCAGGGCGGTGCAGCTAGGTGGGGTGCGGTGCAGTGCAATACAGTGCGGTGCAGTGCGGTGCAGTGGGATGCAGTGCGGTACAGTGCGGTGCAGTGCGGTGCAGTGCGGTACAGTGCGGTGCAGTGCGGTACAGTGCGGTGCAGTGCGGTGCAGTGCGGTGCAGGGCGGCACGGAGCAGGGCGGGGTGGGGGGGGGGGGGGGGGGGGGGGGGGGGGGGGGGAACCGTACCAGTGAGGAGGACGGGGCCGGGGCTGGCCCGACGGGGCCGGGCAGGCGCGACGGGGCCGGGCTGGTGCGACAGGGCCGGGACGGGGCGACGGGGCCGAGCGGGCGCGACGGGGCCGGGCTGGGGCGACGGGGCCGGGCCGGTACGACGGGGCCGGGCGAGCGGGACGGCGGCCGGGCTGGTGCGACGGGGCCGGGCGGCTGCGACGGGACCAGGCAGGGTGCGACGGGGCTGGGCGGGCGCGACGGGGCCGGGCAGGGTGCGACGGCGCCGGGCGGGCGCGACGGGGCCGGGCGGCGGCGACGGCGCCGGGCGGGCGCGACGGGGCCGGGCGGCGGCGACGGCGCCGGGCGGGCGCGACGGGGCCGGGCGGCGGCGACGGGGTCGGGCGGGCACGACGGCGCCGGGCGGGCGCGACGGGGCCGGGCGGCGGCGACGGTTACGACGCGGCCCAGGAGGGGCGCTACGGGGCCCAGGAGGGGCACGACGGGGGGGGCCCAGGAGAGGCGCTGCGAAGCCCAGGAGGGGCGCGACGAGGCCCAGGAGGGGCGCTACGGGGCCTGGGAGGGGCGCGACGGGGCCTGGGAGGGGCGCGACGGGGCCCAGGAGGGGCGCGACAGGGCCCAAGGAGGGCGCGACGGGGCCCAGGAGGGGCGCTACGGGGCCGAGGAGGGGCACGACGGGGCCCAGGAGGGGCGCTACGGAGCCCAGGAGGGGCGCGACAGAGCCCAGGAGGGGCGCTACGGGGCCTGGAAGGAGCGCGACGGGGCCCAGGAGGGGCGCGACAGAGCCCAGGAGGGGCGCTACGAGGCCTGGGAGGAGCGCGACGGGGCCCAGGAGGGGCGCTAGGGGGCCTGGGAGGAGCGCGACGGGGCCTGGGAGGGGCGCGACGGGGCCTGGGAGGGCGTTACAGGGCCCAGGAGGGGCGCTACGAAGCCCAGGAGGGGCGCGACGAGGCCCAGGAGGGGCGCTACGGGGCCCAGGAGGGGCGCGACGGGGCGCTACGGGGCCTGGGAGGAGCGCGACGGGGCCCAGGAGGGGCGCTAGAGGGCCTGGGAGGGGCGCGACGGGGCCTGGGAGGGGCGCGACGGGGCCTGGGAGGGCGGTACAGGGCCCAGGAGGGGCGCTACGAAGCCCAGGAGGGGCGCGACGAGGCCCAGGAGGGGCGCTACGGGGCCCAGGAGGGGCGCGACGGGGCGCTACGGGGCCTGGGAGGAGCGCGACGGGGCCCAGGAGGGGCGCTAGGGGGCCTGGGAGGAGCGCGACGGGGCCTGGGAGGAGCGCGACGAGGCCCAGGAGGGGCGCTAGAGGGCCTGGGAGGGATGAGCGGAAGCGGTAGGTGGGGGGGGGGGGGGGATCCTACCTACGCGTGATACCATATCAGAAATTAGAATTGAATAATCGTAATGTGAGAGTACACACAAATATATCTAAGTTTTGTATCCTCTAAGAGGTGACTCTATACAGTCTATACAAACATGACAAATACACATGTTTGACAGCTAGGACTTAGCCGGATTTGTTAGGTTGCGGGGCGGGGTGTGTGTGAAGGGACTTGACTCTGGCCCTTGGGAACTTAGACGAAATTTTCGGGTGAGGGCAGGGAGGTGCAGTACTAGTACCGGTATGTGTGTCTCAGGGTCCGTACGCGCTGCGCTCTGAAAACTCAGTATCCGCAAACTGCGAAGTCTGAGATTCTCAGGATTCAAAAACATATAAGTCTGAAGGGTTCAGCATTCAGAAAATGGCAAGTCTGAAAAATCAGGATCGGCAAAAAAATATGTCTGAAATTTCAGACAATCAGACTAAAATAGTCTGATAAAATCAGCCCTGATGGTGACGCAATGGCCACTAGGTGTGTCATAAGAATTCAGAAACTTCAGCTGGCCAAAGGTAACACGGCATCAACAATCGGGGACACTTGAGAGGCAAATGGGTGGAATAAGGGCCCAGAGAAACGAAACCCGTGGCATGGTCAGGGCAACGGCAGCGAGGAGCAGCAGTGGTAGTAGCCTTGGCCATCGAATATAAATCTCTGCAACCGCTGCACCTCCCCCAGATGCACCACCCCACTCTTGGGAACACACTCAGGGCAGTGGCAGCGAGGAGCAGCAGTGGTAGTAGCCCTGATCATCGAAGCTGAACCGCTGCGACAGGTGTACCTCCCCCAGATGCACCTCCCCCCACTCCGTGTCCCCATGCTGTGCCACAATTGGGGAGGCATCGAATGGCATGCGGGCATAGCGATGGGGGCTGGGGGAGAGGCGGGAGACGGGAGGGAAGGGTGAAGGGGGAAGGGCGAAGGGATGGAGGGAGCAGGGTGAGAAGGTGGGGGGTAGGAGAGTCAGAGGAAGCCGAACCGCACTGGATTTCGACGTGGCTCATGAGTGTGACGAGAGGTGGGTCAGACACAAGGTGTGGGATTTCGCCCTAATGCAGTCTCACCAGGCGAAACCGGAACCCAATCCAAGGCACGGTGCAACCTAAAGAGCAATCCAAGCTGGAAGCTGAAAGGAAGTGGCACATTTCGCCCCTATCTCCAAAGTACCCTTTCCCGTATCTCGTGTTTCACGATAGCGACATGGAGCTGGTGCTTCCCCCTTTCCGTACCACAGCGAGGCCACCTACCCACCCACCCACCCACCCACCCACCTACCCTCCCTCCCACCCACGTACCCTTTACGATGGCTCGTATTCATTATGGTGGCGTGGAGCTGGTGGGTGGGGGGATGTGCGGGAAAGGAACAGAATGGGGGAAGGAGCAGGACAGGGGAAGGGGAGACAGGGAACAAGAGAGGACCGCAGCGAGGGGGGGGGTTTGGGGGATGAGAGAGGGAAGGAAATAACAGGGACGGGCTTCTGAGATCAGAGCAAGCCAAACCTTTGAGAGTGAGAGCATTTAAACCACAAAGATAACAAACTTCTGTGAATGCCCGAAAAGCTTGAGAGGCTGCTTTTTGCGTATGCCCTAGACTAGCCCATAGGGCGCTGCCCCACAACGCACCTTTAGAGGTTGCCGGCAATCCCTAGGCGTGACCAGCCCTGCCTCCCTGCATGCCGCCCTCAGCACCTCTGGAAGGGGGGCAAGGAGAAGGGGGGTGGGAGAAGGAGGGGTGGGAGAAGCGGAGGGGTTAGGTAGGGCAAGGCGGGGTCTGTTGGCCAGAGTCGTGACCAGCCCTGCCTCCCTGCATGCCGCCCTCAGCACCTCTGGTAGGCAGGGGGGACAGGGGAACGGGGGAGGAGAAGAGGGGGAGGAATGCATTGGAAAGGGGAATGGGAAACGGATCCTTGGCATAACCGGCCCTGTCCCTCAGCCTGCTGCTCTTGGCACCTCTGGGAGATGGGGGTCGAGGTGGGGGTCGAGGTGGGGGTCGAGGTGGGGGTTGAGGTGGGGGTTGAGGTGGGATTGAGGTGGGGGTTGAGATGGGTAGAGGGCACAGGAGGGAGAAGAGGAGGGAGAGGTGAGAGGTGGAGGCGAGGATCCCTAAGCATCACCAGTCTTGCCTCTCTGCCTGCCTCTCTGCCTCCCTCTCTGCCTGATCCACAAGAGCAAGCCGTGAAGGGAATGGGTAGAGGGCACAGGAGGGAGAAGAGAAGGAGGGAGAGGTGAGAGGTGGAGGCGAGGATCCCTAAGCATCACCAGTCTTGCCTCTCTGCCTGCCTCTCTGCCTGCCTCTCTGCCTGATCCACAAGAGCAAGCCGTGAAGGGAACATCCATCACTACAGCTCACCGTGCTTCACTCCACCACTCACCACATACTGCAGGCAGCCTGTTTCCACCATCCACCTCCTCCATATCAGCATAGAGCACATGCGCCTTGGAGGGATGGCCCCTCATGCACTTCTGTGGAATAAGGAGGGCCAGAGGTTACGTGTTAGAGTTGAGCTTTCAGGTTGAAGGTTTAAGGGTTGAGGTGCAAGGATTCGAATCACATGTGAGGTGTGAGGCTGGGTTGTGAAAGACATGCGTGTTGGAGTAATGGGAGGGAGAGAGAGGTGGAGAGGGAAGAGGGAGAAAGAGAGGAGAGGGAAGAAAGAGAGGAGAGGGGAGAAAGAGAGCAGCAGGGAAGGCAGGATGAAAGGCCGTTTCCCTCTTGTGAGCATTAGGGGAGAAGGGCATGAGGGAAGGGCATGAGGGAAGGGCATGAGGGAAGGGCATGAGGGAAGGGCATGAGGGAAGGGCATGAGGGAAGGTATAGCACATGGGAAATGGCTCCTGCATTCCCCACACCACATTTGCTGTGCATGCCGCATGTGCTGTGCATGCTGCATGTGCATGGTGTGCCGCACATGTTATGCTTGCATCATAGACTATGCATGCACGTATGCTATGCGTGCCGCATGTGACATCCATGTGGCATCGCATATGCTATGCACGCCTCGTGAGACAATCATGCCCAGGCGGATAACAGCATGCAGGTAGCCGCATGCAGGTAGCCGCATGCAGGTAGCAGCATGAGACTCACCAGACCAACGAGGCGAATGACGAGAGGCTCCTCTCCCAACACTTCGACAACTCTAGGCATGGCGGCCTGTGGAGGGACAAGAGTAGAAACGGGAGGCGCGCACAGAATATGCGGCGAAAACATGCCATTTCCGAGGAAAGGAAGCACACCTCGACATGCCGAGGTTGTTTAGCTGGAAAGCGATCCTTGGCCAGCTGGAGTGGAGGGAATCCACGTTGAATCCCTCCACCTGGCCACAGATTGCTTTCCAGCGACGCAGCCTCTGCCTCTGCATCACGAGGTGCTTTCCTTCACAGCCGAGTCAAAAGCAGGGTGCGATCATCAAATGCGAAGCACGAAGCATACTCTTTGTTAGGTAGAAGGAGCTAGCCGCAAGACTAGTACGAAACAGAACGCTGATGAAGGTTTAGCCGCCGAAACGCACGTACGTTCTGAACGCTTGAAAGCGTCTTACACTAGTGCCTGCTGCCTTACACCTGTAACGCACGGGCAGCCCTCCGCACGCGCTCGAAATACCAGAGCTTGCGCAGGTGCAGGGCGAGACGCCCTTGAGATGCGTCGAGAGTCGCTGCTGCAATGCGGGTGCAGCCCTCGGCACTCAGTGGGACCGTGGAGAGACCAGAGCTTGAGCATTTGGACGGTGAGGTGGAGTCGAGGTGCCTCAAGATTGCAGTGCTACCTCACCTGTGGCTTGAGACGCACTTGAGATTGAGATGCCTCAAGACTTGTTGCTGCTGCCCACCTGCAACGCCTGGGAAGCCTTTTCCACGCGCTCAGGCGACCACAGCTTGAGCATTTGCACTGTGAGGTGGAAGGTGGAGGGGTTGATGAAGATGGACGGGTGCACGCCGCCTGGTGGGGGTGTGGGGCACAAGTGAGGAATGCACGAGAGGCACACAAGGGGCGGGTGGTAAGGGGGGCATGGGGGGTAAAGGATGACCGGAATGGTAGGGGCAGCAAGGGATGCTAAGGTCTATATGAGCAGGAAAGGATTTCGATCGATCTGTCTCAGCTCCTCTCCCCGTCACTTTTTGGGCTGTATCAAACGCACTCACCGTACTGGTCTTTGATCCCTTTCCCCTTCGAACCACCTTGCTGCCCCCACTGCTCCTCCTTTCCTCTTCCTCCCCCCCGCCCTGCAGCTGCCGCCCACTCTCCCTCTCCTCCTCCCTCCCCCTCTCCCTCCAGCATGGAGACACCACCAGTAGAAGCAGCAGAGCCAGCACCAGTTGTAGCATCAAGTGTAGCACCAGCTGTAGCACCAAGTGTAGCACCAGCTGTAGCACCAAGTGTAGCACCAGCTGTAGCACCAAGTGTAGCACCGGCAGCATCAGTGCCGGAGTCCTTTCCAGCAGCCGGGCCACCATCACTGTGCACCCTCTTCTCTCCTCTCATAGTTTTTCTCGCCTCCTCCCCTCCACTCTCCACTCTGTTCCCTTCCTCCCCTCCCTCTACTTTCACTTCCCCCCTTCCAGCTGTGGCTTCACAACCATCCATCACGACCCCTCCCCCCCTCTCTCCCTCTCCCTCAGTTTCTGCTTCTGTCCTCTTGTAACCACCAGCGGCACCAGCATCACTACCAGCAGGAGCAACATAAGCACCTGAGGCACCAGCAGCAGCATTAGCAGCAGCATCACTACCAGAACAACCAGCAGCAGCAGCACTACCAGCACTGGCAGCTGGTTGCGTCAGCAGGGAGCCCACTGATTGGAGCACGGAGGAGCGGAAGTCGATCAGGCGAGCGACTAGGGGGCGGTGCGCAGCAAGGGGGAGGGAGAGGAAGTGCGAGTAGCCGACCGAGGGGCTGTCGATGGCCTGGTGTTAGGGGGGGGGGAGTGAAGAGAGAGGGGAGTTCAGATTTTTTTTTTTTTTTTTTTTTTTTTTTTTTTTTTTACGAAGGACTGTACATTACCTGGTCTGGCCACTAGAGGACGCTGCGCGGCGAGAGGCAGGGGGGAGAGAGAGCCGAGTAGCCAAGTGAAGGGCTGTCGAGCCTGGCATGGGGAGGGGAGAGAGAGGGGAGATGTGAGGAGGGAATGTGTATTGCCTGGTCGGGCAGGGAGAGGGGGGGGGAAGGCGAGAGGGAGCGAGAGGAAATACGAGTAGCTGACTGATGGGCTGTCGATGGCCTGGTAAGAGGGGTGGAGAGGGGGGGACGGGGGAGGGAGATGGTGTTGTGGTTGGGAGAGGAAGCGGGATTCGCCGACTGAGGGGCTGTCCGTGGCCTGGCATGGGCGAGGAGGGGAGACGGGGGGATGGGAAGGGGAGAGAGGACGTTGCGGAAGGATGTGGCATGTCTCAGTCACAGTGGGAGAGGACGAAAGTGTTATCAGCTGACTGAAGGGGCCGTCCGTGTATGGCCTGGTGTGTGCGGGGAGGTTTTGGGGGGAAGGGGGTATATTTAATCTGCAGAATCAGTCTTGCTGAGGAGGGAGGGGAAGTGGGAGTGGACAACAGAGGGGCTTTCTGTGGCCTTGATGGAGACGGAGAGAAACGGTCTCATTAACACACGGACCACTTGAGAGAAAGGGGATGGAAATTGTAGTGGCTGGGGATGGGGAGGAGGAAGTGCGAATAGCCGCAGAGGAGCTGTGGTTGGGGGAGAGAGTTACAGGCGTGAGAGCTAGGTGCACATGATATCAAGTGGATGTGATTTCAAGGGAAATTGAAAAACCCACCTGGCATAGCACCTGAACCCACCTAGCCTAGCACCTGAAACCACCTGGCCTAGCACCTGAACCCACCTGGGCTAGCACATGAGCAAAGAGGTCGACTGCTGCTGTTGCTGCTTGCTCCGATGGACCAGATACCTCTGAGGCACAGGGAGACGGGAGGCGAGGGAGGGAGGAGAAATGCAGATGAGCAGCGAAGTGACTGACATGCTCGGCCAGCAAAGATGGCTTGCTGCTGCTGGGCTGAATCGTGCATCCATCTCAACAGTGTGCTGCATGGCTGGATGTGTGGCAGTGAGGCTGACATGCGAACATGCAATATCGCACATGTCATGCAATATCGCACATGTCATGCAATATCGCACATGTCATGCAATATCGCACATGTCATGCAATATCGCACATGTCATGCAATGTCACACAAAGATGCTACACCAGGTATGGCATGCCCTCTTGCTGGAGCTGTTGGGTGCCTTCACCACACATAGAATCACAAAATGTATGCCATAGCATGGATGGATGCATGGCAAGGTATGGATGCATGGCATGGTATGGATGCATGGCAAGGTATGGATGCATGGCATGGTATGGATGCATGGCATGGTATGGATGCATGGCATGGTATGAATGCATGGCATGGTATGGATGCACGGCATGGCATGGCATGGGTGCAAGGCATGGATGCATGGCATGGCGTGGCATGGCATGGATGCATGGCATGGTATGGATGCATGGCATGGTATGGATGCATGGCATGGTATGGATGCATGGCATGGTATGGATGCATGGCATGGTATGGATGCATGGCATGGTATGGATGCATGGCAAGGTATGGATGCATGGCATGGTATGGATGCAAGGCAAGGTATGGATGCATGGCATGGTATGGATGCATGGCATGGCATGGCATGGGTGCAAGGCATGGATGCATGGCATGGCATGGCATGGCATGGATGCATGGCATTACCAATCACAGCATGGTCGTGAGTTCTCTTGTTGAAGTGGCTGGGAGCCTTCACCACACATGATGTCGCATCCCCTATGTCGCTCAGGGCAGCCGGGCTGCAGTGCAACGAGAGGGGAGGAAAGGCGAGCGGGATAGTTAGAGGGGAGATGAGAAGGGCACGGGTGACAGTGCAAGGTGCATGTCAACTTCACGATGAGGAAAACGACAATGAGCTAATGGGAGTTGAGCAGCGAGGTGGGAATAGGTGAAAGAGCATGCGGCATCTGCGTTGCTGCTGCCTTACTCTCTGCCTGTGAACAACCCCATCAGTGCTCCATCCACCTGTATGGCATGACATGGATAAAGAAAATGGGCAGAAAACAGTACACTTAAAAAAAATGTCTATGGCCAACATAGCAATGCACAAAGTTGCAGCCGAAGACGCAGACGACAATTGGCACTGAACAGACGGACTCCCCCCAGGAGTAGCAGTTTCCCCCCTCCCATCCGCACCTTCACTTGTATCACGGTCGTCCCATCGCCCTTCACTTCCTTAAGCATCACACTCGGTGTGCCGTACATCCGCTCCACCTCCGCTATTGTCATCCGCACACCCCCCCCTGAACCCCACTGCTCCCGCCTCCCCCCGCCTCTCCCTCCCCTTCCCCCTCCCCCTCCCCCTCCCCCTCTCCATCCTGGTCCCCGTCCCCGTCCTCCCCCTCTGCCCATTCCGTATCCTCCACCTCCCCCTCGCCTTCCCCTTCCTCTACTTCCACCTCCATCATACCCTCCATCCCCTCTCTCCCCTGCCTGCCCTCCCTCCCCTCCCTCACATCTCTCTCCTTCCCTTTCTCCCCTGCGCCCATCCCCATTCCCCCGCCAGCTGTTCGGAAATCCCCCCCTCCCCCTCCCCCCCCAGCTCTTGGTTCCCCCCCCCATCTCTCCGCCCATCCCACCCCCTGCTTCTCTCCTGCCCACCCACCTTTCCCCTTCTCCGCGTAGCCCGCCTCCATGGGGATCTCCCATCCCCCCACTTTCTCCCCCAACCTTTCCCCCCCGCCTTCCGCCAGTGGGTTCTGGACTCCCCTTTCCGCCACTCTCTCCGCCGGTTCTCTGCTCTCTCCGCGCAACCCCCCCATCTCCGCCAGTTTCTGCCGGAGCGTCCGCCATCGCCGCGCCCCTCGCTGGCGAAGCAGCGGCCATCGCTCGGCGATTTTCGTGAAGAACAGTTATTTCGCACGGGCGAGAGGCGACGAAAGCCTGGCGAGATTCGGATTCACGAGAGAAACGGGTGACTGACGGGCTGATTACAGAAGCATGGAGTCGCCTTGCGCTCGTCGCACGAGCTACACCCAAAATGCTGTTCGTGCGGATTCGCGTGCCTACGCAGATGCTTCCACTAGTTAAGGTCAGCCCTTTCCGAGTACCTCCGGCTTTCGCGAGGAGAGAGAATGTGGGAACGGCAAACCGATGGGCGACGCTGGCGAAACCAGCATGACTGTGCGACGCTAGGCGACGAAGAGAAGACGCCAGCCTACGCTCGGAAACGGCTAAAAGGGACGAGCGTCGCACTGCTTGCATGCTGGGGCTAGCAACCAGCAGAAAGAGGTGGCGCGTCAAATTCGGCTAGGAATCCAACATGTGGAAAACCACTTCCCAGCTAATGTTGGGCACTCGCGTAGCCCTGTATAGAGAGGTTTTCCTTTCATCAAACTCTTTAACGGAGAATAGCGGCGGACCATAACGAGTCCGATCAACGTGGAGCGCTCACCACCGCAGCAGCCAATCCCAAGCCACTACAGAACATATGCCTTATAGACGACCCCCTTTTACGCACCGAAATGCTCAGTAGGCAATTCATCCGCGGGCCTTGGTGCTTTGAAATCCGTCTAAGTATAGAAAGGAAGGCAGCTTTGAGTTCAAGCCTGAACAAGAAATATGCATCGAAACGAATTCTAGCCGAGCTTGCTGATTGGAGGAATAGCGAAAGACCTCGAAATGCTGTTTTTTGCGACACGATCATTTGGATGTGATTTGCGCAAGAACACTGTGTGCATCGAACGGATTTTCTACGACGGTGGGCGACGAGGAAATACAAACGCTTCGTGACTCGGGAATTCAAGTGATTTGCAGGTCTCCAAGACCGAAATCAGCTACTGTTTGTCAAATTATATATATTTATATATATGTATAGATATATATTTGTGTAGGCTTTGTAGGTTATCGAACTCTACTGCTTAGGGTACAATCCCCTCCTTGCATCCGTCTCTCTTTCTAGTCTGACCCTCTTTTCTCTTGTCAACTTTCTCCTTCCTAAACCTTTCGCCATTCCATGGCTTCCCTCCGACCTAGCTTAGTTTAACACTGCTCGCCAAAAAGAACTGTTCTTCTCGCATGTTCACTGTCCATGGAACCACGAAATTCGGTCGCACAACGCGTATCGCACTGTTCACCGTCGCCAAACTGCCACGGTCAGATTCCGCTTTGCAAAACGAAATGTTTTTATTCTGTCTCGTTTACTCTAAAGATCAAGTCATGTGCCAAGTTCAAGAGGAAATTAAATAGCCGTCTTGATTGCTGTTATAGTCACGGGCTTTAACTTGTTCCCTGTCGAAATCAGGATTCTAGGTGGCGGGGGGGGTTCAATTGTTTTCAAACCCTATATAGTCTACAGAAATATACAATATATGTTTGACACACCCCCTAGACTGGATAAGGGCAGTGCCCGATGAGAGAGAAACATCCCAGGGTGGCACTACTAGTCCAGTCTCTGAGGCAGGGGTCAAAAGACCAGTCAAACAAGTACAGACAAGGCAAGAGCAAGACCAGGGTGGCACTACTAGTCCAGCCACTAGGAAGAGGCCACAAGGCCAGTCAGGGTAATATATATAATGGTTTGTACCCAATCAAGGTCCTAGCAAGTGAGAGGCTACAGGAACGAGACCTAGCTGTACACAGTGTCGCTGATGTTCTTTAGGCGCAAGCGCCTTACTAAAGATATCAGCTGTGTTGGCACCGGAGGCCAAGTGTACTACACGAGCCTGGCGACGCTGCTGCAGCTCGCGCAGGAGGAAGTACCGCAGCTGGATGTGCTTCGCTCGGCCCTCAAGTCGCCACGACTAACACAAGAGGATAATGGCCCTGTTGTCAGCGTACAGAACCGGGGCAGAGCTAGGCCGCTCACCCAAGTTGGTGAGCAAGAAGGTCAGCCAGCGGAGCTCCTGTGCCGCCATGGCACCTGCGTAGATCTCAGCCTCACAGCTAGACTGGGAAAAAGACGAGGAATGGGTGGACCTCTAAAAGATGCCACCTGCACCAAGGCTAAAGGAGTAGCCCTGTGAGGACCTGAGAGTCTCGGCGTTGTCTGCCCAAGAAGCGTCAGTGTGCCCGGTAAGGACCACTGGTCTCCGTCCTCCTAGCACTAGCCCCATGCCCGATGTACTTGCTAGATAACGCAAAACCCTCTTAGCTTCTGACCAGTGCTGTGGTCGGTGTCAGCCTGTGGCCACAAAGCGAGCCAGGATGCTGAGAGGGTATGCGAGATCAGGACAAGTGCAAGTCATCAGGTATATGAAGCAACCCACCAGCTCTGCATAGGGACTACTAGGCTCTGCTGACTCCTCAGGGACTAGGGCAGAGAGTCTGTGGTCTACTGACAGAGGGGTGGGCTGTGCGGAAGAGAACTGAAGCCCGAACCTCAGAAGGACCTAGCGCACCAAGTGTGACTGTGAGAGAGTGATGGTGCGCGTTGCTCTGTCCCTGGAGATCTACAAGCCAAGGTAGCGGCGCATCTCTCCTAGGTCAGCGCAGATGTGTCTCCTCAGCAGCTCGGCCTTCACGGCGGCCAGTTCGTTTTTGTCAGCATTAGCAAAAACCAGGTCGTCTACGTAGACAATGATGTAGAACGGAGTCTGGCCGGAACGGACAAAGAGCGAGGGGTCTGCAGACGAAGAGAAGGACTGCAAGTCAGCAAGTGTAGCACGCAGCGTGTCGTGCCACTCACGGGGCGCCTGTCGCAAGCCGTAGATGGGGCGCCGGAGAAGCCACTCGGTGCCAGGGGGGGAGGTACCGGAGAGGCCCTAGGGGCGGCGCAGGTAGACCTGCTCGTGTAGACTTCCCTGGAGGAAAGCTGTGGAGAAGTCAAGGGAGTGGAGCTCGTAGTCACGCTGTACTGCTACGTGTAGCGGCACCTGAAGAGTGGTCATCTTCGGGGTCGGGGCGAAGGTCTGAAAGAAGTCCACCCGCTCCTGGAGACTGAAGCCTTGAGCGACGTAGTGCGCCTTGAAGATAGGCGGCTCCCTAGGAGGGCGCTTCATCTTGAAGAGCCACTGGCCATCGACTACGTTCACCCCAAGTGGGGGAACTGTGTCAGCGAAGGTACCGGTGGATCTCCAAGATGCCATCTCCTGCTCCATGGCAGCTGTCCACTGAGAGGCCTAGGGTCCCGAGATGGCCTCCAGGGACTAGTAGCATGGAACAGAGATGGGGAGCCGCCTCATACAGGAAAGCGAGCTCGAACTGCCTGTCCTCTAGGACGTCACTGCCAAGAGCAGCCACACCCCCGACGGTCGGAGGGCAGGCAGGGTCAGAGACCAGAGCGGTGGCGTAGTCCAGGCGGCGGGTAGCGGCGAAGTCAGTGATAGCAGCGACAGGAACGGACGGGTTGGTAACGAGAGAGGCAAGGACACGAGGAACAAGGGGACGCGCAACTCGGAGGAAGTCCGAGAACGGAGGCAGGGCCACAGCAAGCGACGACTGAGGAGGAGACGGGAGGAGAGGAGGAGCACGAGACGCGTGAGAGCGAAGCAACATAGGGTGAGAACCCTGAACAGGGGAGGTAGGACGAGCACGAGATGGACGACGAGACCAGACGTGAGACGGAGGAGTCGGGTCAGGAGAGAGGGGAGGAGACAAAAGAGGAGAACGAGGAGAGAAACGAGCCGGAAAGGAGTCCGGAGGAGGAAACACGGGGCCATGGACCAGCAGAGGAGGAGGCGGCTGCAGCGGGGGAGGTGGCAACGGGCGGTCAGGGGAAGGGAGACCAAGGATGCGAAGAGTGGACACCAGTGACGACAACTGCGAATGCTGCCCGACTCGAACACCAGAACCTCCATCGACAACATGGCTCCCTCTGAGAAGCCCTACGCCAGCACCCCTAGAGCCCGCTCCGGACCTAGCTCCAGCCCGCTCCCCAGCACCCCCAAAACCCACGAACCCAAGTGGCGGTGACGACGGCGGCTGCGGCTGCGGCGGGGACAGGGGAGGCGAGACCGGGGCAGGGACAGGCAGGGGAAGAGACTCTGCCGAGCCGCTAGAGTCAGCGGACTCCTCAACAGGGACAACCGACGGGAGGGGGGTGGCGTGAGACACACCAGACGGGGCAGGGCGGGGAGGGGGGTGGACAGGGTCGACCGGGGGAGGTGGGGGCACTAGGAACTTAGGGGGAGTGACCGGGGGACCATGGTGGGGGAAGCGGTGGTAGAAGGAGACGGACTGCGAGGTGACGGGGCCGCGGGGCCGCGAGGTGACGGGGCTGCGGGGCCGCTAGGGGATGGGGCCGCGGGGTCGCTAGGGGACGAGGCCGCGGGGCCGCTAGGTGACGGGGCCGCGGGGCCGCGAGTTGACGGGGCCACGGGGCCGCTAGGGGAGGGGGCCGCGGGGCCGCTAGGTGACGGGGCCGCGGGGCCGCTAGGGGACGGGGCCGCGGGGCCGCTAGGGGACGGGGCGGCGGGCCCGCTAGGTGACGGGGCCGCGGGGCCGCTAGGTGACGGGGCCGCAGGGCCGCAAGGTGACGGGGCCGCGGGGTTGCTAGGGGACGGGGCCGCGGGGCCGCTAGGGGACGGGGCCGTGGGGTAACGAGGTGGGTAGGACCTAGGGCGGAAGCGCTCGGGGGGGGGGGGACCTACCTTCTCATGATACCATGTTCAAGTGAAAGAATCTCTAGAAGAAGGCATACAAGGGAATATAACCTAATGGGTTGTACTCCCTAAGGCACAACCCTATATAGTCTACAGAAACATACAATATATGTTTGACAGTGTCAACTTATACATACATTTGCATATAGAAGTTATACCGTATTCCCCCGGATATACGTCCCTAGGTGCTTATAGGGATTATAGTCAAAATATTGGGGGTTCGTTTAATTGGATTTTTTTTATATGGCATGGTGCGTTAAAAACGTTCGTAAGGAAAAATTTGAAACGAACATGAAGTTGTAGCTAGAACAATTTGCAATCGAATGGAATGCTCCCAAACGAGAACAACCAGAGCAGTCCCACCAAAGTCGCTTCCCAGACGATTGACGCGTCAGCCAAGCAGCAATGCACGGCTACTAAACCGGAGTTCTTCAGGGCGTTGCGCACGGTTCTATGGCATAACTTGATGCCGCACTCCGATTCTAGAAGTTTCGCGGCTTCTATGCTAGTATTCGCTCGGCCAGAAGTGACGGCTCGGACTAGTGAGCGCCTATCTCGAACCGAGAGTACGCACGGTCGGCCGTTCCTAGGAACATTCGGCCTGACCGCTAGGCTGCTCGAGCGCTAGGAAGCTTCGTCAACATATTTATGTACCGTGCTTTTTCCTATTCCTAATG